GTGGGAAGTGTGAGCTTATGCACTTTGGAAGGAAGAATAAAGGAACTGAATATTATTCAAATGGAGAAATACTGCAGAAAGCTACAAAACAGAGGAATTTGGGACTCCTGATCCATGCATTATAGAAAGCTAACATCTAAGTTCAGGGAAGGCATATGGAATGTTGGCCTTCTTTTCAAAGGGAATGGAATATAAAAGTAAGTAGGTTTTGTAAACATATACAAGGCACTAGTCAGGCCACAGCTGGAATACTGTGAATAGTTTTGGGCCCTTATATAAGTAAAGATTTATCTGTATTAGTGGCAGTCAGAGAAGTTCCATTAAGCTAATATCAGATATGGAGGGACTGTCTTATGAGGAGAGATTGAGAGGGCCTGTACTCACTGGAATGTAGATGAATGACATATGACGCTTTGAAACATTTCAGACAGAGATGAGGAGGAATTTCTTCTCAAAGAGTAGTGAATCTATTGAATTCTTTACCACAGACGGTTGTTGAGGCTGGGTCATTAAGTATATTCAGGAGTGAGATAGACAGATTTTTAAACAGTAAAGGAATCAAGGGTAATTGGAAAAGGGCAGGTAAGTGGAGTTGAGGATTTTAGGATCAGCCAATTGTCAATGGCATGCAAGAACAGAAGGACCTGAATATGTTTGTGTACAAATCATTGAAGGTTGCAAGACAAGCTGAGATAGCAATTATTAAAATATTCAGCATCTTAAGTTTTTTCAATAAGGGAGTAGAGTATAAAAGCAAGGAAGTTAGGTCAAGCCTATAGAAAACAGTGGTTTAGTCTCAGCATCCAGTTTGGATATTGCAATTTAAGCAGGAAATAAAGGCATCAGAGAGATTGTTGAAAAGATTCATGAGAATGGTTCCAGGGATCAAGAACTTCAGTTACATGGAGGGATTAGAGGTGTTGGGACAATTTTCCTTTAAGAAGAGGAACTTGAGAGGAGATTTGGCAGAGGGATTCAAAATCCTGAAGGGTTCAGACTGAATCGATAGGGAGAAACTGTTACTATTGGTGGAAGGATAAGATTGAGTGAACACAGATTTAATGCAATTGTAAAAGGAAGCAATGACATGAGGAAAATCTTATTCACTTAGCAAGTAGCTAGAATTTGCAATTTGTCTGAGAGTATGGTGACAGTGGTGTTAGCTGAGATTTTCAAAAGGGAATTGGATCATTATGTAAAAGGGAAATATTTGCAGGGGTCTGAGCAAGGCAATGGCACTGGAATTAGTACTTACCAAGAGCAGACACAACTGTCCCTTGTTCCGTGCTGAAACTATTCTATGATTCTACGAATCTTGTGTCTGAGCAAAATTAGTCTATTGAATTGAACGACAGAAAGATTCAGCACCTTCAGGATGAAAGGGTAGGCAATTGAGAAAAAGATGGCTGATTAAATGCACAAAGTTTTTAACATAGTAATGAAACGTATTGATAAGGAAGAAGAAAGTCCTATTATCAACATGGTATTAAATTATAATAGTAAATATGAAATATAAAATTTTAACTTCTGTCATCTGTTTGTATTCCCTGAGATCTTTTGCGGAAGAAAATGGCTTGAAGAAAGATCAAACACTGAATTAAAAAGGCTAATGTAATCACTTGTGCAGAGTGAGGTAAATCCAAGAGACTAATGTAGAATAAATGAAACCATCTACATTGAAATTGCTACTTCATCTGAAGACACTTGACAGAATCTAATTTCTAAGTTCTATTGAGTTTTTTGCAGAATTTTTTGCTGCAAGGTCTGGCAAGATTTCCTGCCATATCTTACTAAACCTAACTCATTAATTATCAACCTGACCCCCAGTTGCATCCTTCTCCTTTGATTCTTGCCCCATCTTACTGCGAGATCTTTCTGCAACAACTTGCCACTCACTGGATGTCCACCAAAAGACCATCATCCTTAAAAGGCCACTGTGTACCCAGACAGGATTGGCAATCTGGCATTCCCTCTTATTGGCAATATAATGGCGCAGCAACCACAAAATCAAGCTGCTCCCGGCATGTAGCATCATGGCTGACACTCCTTCGTACATATAATTCCACTCTCTCGCCCTTGAAGCTGTTTAACCACCAGGCCATACATTTTACCAGTCCATAGCTATATCCCATCTAAACACCGCCTCTCAGTCACCACCACTCTGTACCCAAAGAGAAATATAGACCCACAGCTTGCCATTGTCAAGCAGGGGAATATCACAAACAATTCCAAACATGATTGTTTATTTACAGCCAGTGAAAGCATACGGAAAAGAAATGAAGAAAAGCTGCAATTCACCCTCCATAGTGCAAACCGAATGCTAATATTATGACCAATGACAATCATATATTTCATGATGTTCCCATCTACTGGAACCAGGTGTCAGTCAGCTCCTGTCTGGCTTGCAGCATCTGATGCAGCTGAGCTCTGTCATACACAAGGAGAGCTTCCTCTTCCCCAAAGTCCGCCACGTTCTCCTTGGAAGGTTACTGCAATCTCCTCAGCATCCAGCACATTGTTTTCTTGTGTGCCCGAATTGTGCAGAGCCCAGCATGCCACTGAATGATGTAGCACACTCTATCCAGACTATAATGGCCCCCAGTTCCAAGCGGTAGAACTGCATCTTTTGAAACCCTATCATCTCCTCCACTGTAGCCCTGTTTGCAGCATGTGTACCAACTTGATGAAGGTTTCGCATTGGCTGATTGACCAATACATGACATCGAAAAGGGAATGCCTGTTGCACTCCAACCCCATTCCAAACTCACATCAACCATTCAGCTTATCATTTAATTCCACAGAATCCCTAGTAACACTTACATGACATATAGTGAAGTGATGTTCTTTTCCTTCCACCACACCCTTGGAAGTTTCCTAAGTGATAGGATTCTTTTGGCCAGCATTCACCTCATTTTAACTCTTTGCTGCTAACTTCTTCAACATTGAGATGCCAGCATTAAATTTGCAAGTGCCAGTGGCATGGTGCAAATCACCTTTGACCAGTATTCGAACCCAAAGCATGTTCACTCACGTGCATTGCAAATGGGTGAATAAATTATTGGAAATTAAAGGTAGCTGCAGTTTGTGGATGCGTACCTCGTGTATTTGCCCCTTCAATGTCCTAGCGTTCAGTGAATGTGGATGCCACGTTTTCACCCATCAAACTGACACTGACTCTGCCCACCTTGGACATTGTCCCAGCCATTTTGTTGTTGCAGTTATCATCTAGAGAATGACAGATGATAGCAGGGAATACTGTGCATGATGAATACTGTCAGCGCTGGGCTCCGCCTGGTAACCAAATACACCCAAGAAGCTGCATGCCCCTTTTACCTCACACTGCCCCAACAGCCTATTTCCATCCATTACCCCACGTGGAGACCACCACATCAAATGTTGCCTCCAACTGTCCTCCTTCGCATCTTTAAAATTTGGATGAAAGAATGAAGTTATGGTTGCTGAATTTGCTGATAACACAAGAGAAAAATAGGAAAGTGAGTTGAGAAGAGAACACAAGGAGCCTATAGGGCGATATAGATAGGTTAACCTGAGACAAAAATAGAAATTGCTGGAAAAGCTCAGCAGGTCTGGCAGTATCTGTAAAGAGAAATCAGAGTTAACTTTTAGAATTGACTGATCCTTCCTCAGAACAGTTGTCTCTGATTTACAGCATCCACAGTTCTTTCAGTTTTTAGATAGGTCAACTGAGTAGACAAAGATCTGGTAAATGAAGTGCAATGTTGGAAAGTGTGAAATTCTCTAGTTTGGCAGGAAAAAAAGAAACACATTACTTATAATGTGAAAGGTTGCAGATCTCTGAGATGCAGAGAGATCTGGGAGTCCTAGTGCATGAATCACAGAATGTTAGTATGCAGGTACAGAAAGTAGTCAGGAAATCTAATAAAATGCTATGTTTTATTGTGAAGGGAATTGAACGCAAGAGTAGGGAGATTATGCTTCAGTTATACAAGGCATTGGTGAGACCGCATCTTGAGTACTATGTACAATGCTGATCACTGTATTTACAGATGTTAATACATTGGAAGTTGTTCAGTGAAGGTTTACTAGACTATCATCTGGAATGAGTGGATTGCCTATGTTAAGGGATAGACAGGATAAGCCTGTATTTCTCTGGAGTTTAGAAGAGTGAGAAGTGACGCAATTGAAACATATAAGATTCTGAGAGAACTTGACCAGGTGGATGTCGAAAGGATGTTTCATCTTGTCAGAGAATTAGAACTAGGAGTCATTGTTTATAAATAAGGGGTTGCCAATTTATCTCTCTCTCAGACGGTTGCAATTCTTTGGAACTTCACGCCTCCAAAGACTGTTGACACTGAATCTTTAAATATTTTAAAGGCTTAGGTAGGTAGATTCTTGATTACCAAGGGGATGGAAGATTATCGGGGATATGCAAGAATATAGAGTTGAGGTTAAAATCAAATCAGTCATGATTTTATTGAATGGTGGAGCAAATTTGAAGAACTGACTGGCCTACTCCTGTTCCTTGTCCACATGTTTGTAATAAGCTGCTTAAGAAACAATATTCCCAGTTCATAGACAGCAGACTGCTGCCAAACAAGAAATGTGCCTTGACATCTGGAAGATGCATAATAAATGCAGCAAGTTGCTTCTGACATAAAGTTAGGCCTCGCTGAACTTCTCACACAATTTTTCCGCAAGTTTTGTCATAGTCCATGTCCTTCAGACCCCTATAAGGTTTTGCCCACTGAAACCATCAAAATCAGCATCATAAAATTATATCTTGTTGTAATTCACACTTACATAAGTGTACATATTGTGTATCAAAGGTTGCTGGTAACTATTCAGCTTGGAAAGATAATCAAACCAGACTTGGGAATACACAAACAAAGCATATTACATTACAGGACGTCCCTGACTTACGAACGTCCAACTTATGAACACTGGTACTTATGAATACAATTTCATAGATGGGTGTAATTTTAAAGGCCTGACATATGAATATTTCCCGTACTTACAAATGGCTCCTTTATATTGTCCTACATTGTGTTCCGACTTGCATACAGATTGACTTGCGAATGTGCTGCAGAAAAGAACCCGTTCACAATCCGGAGATTCCCTGTAGCTGCTTTGTGAGCAGCAGAGCAAAGAGCAGGAAAACAATTTTATAACAATAAAAGCTAGAAGTCTTCCTTTCTCTCTGTTTCTCTCATCATCTGAGCTGACAGCACAACAAAGCAAATTGGGGAAATACCCATTCACTGAAAATGCAAAGAGATCTATAAACTTCACCACTGCTGAGGGTGTGGGTGGACAATTAAACATCTATAGCATAAAATGAAAAATCTAACATCTCAAGGACACCCAGGCCTTTTAAACTGTGCAACCTTTATTCATTCTGTCTGGATTAAATCAATTCCTTGTTTGAACATTTTTACCTGCGATTGTATGTGTGTGTTTGTTGTGTTTTATTATTTTTCTTGGGATTGTTAGGTAATAAAACTCCTCTTTGTTTCACTCAAGAAAACCTTCTAAACGGCTCCTTAATTCTGATGATTTCAACATTTAATTGAAGTGTGAAAGCTGCATGCTAAAAATAAATACAAATATTTGTTGCAACTGATGAAAAGAAGTTAAAAAAAGGGGAATTATCTCTCCTTAGCAGGTCGTAACAATGGCTTGAGTCAGCTGATCTCTGCTTAGGTGACATTTAAGCAACATAAGGAGAAAATCAATCTGGGTTGGCATCTCTAATTTCTATTTATTGAACTTTACTGGAAACACATGTTTGGGTATCAGCCAAGTGCAAGGTTATTCTGTAATTGTCTTCCCACTGTTGAATAGTCTGCTGATTCTCACACTTATGGTTTGCAAATGTAGAACACCACCCAAGCATGATACTACTTGTGTGGACTGTCAGCACACGTGAAATTATAAGTTATCGATTTCAAGAGGAGCAAAAAGTCTTCACGACAAAACTTGGACTTAACAAACATTTGAACCCTTTCCTGAAGTAATGATCACAACATTTACATTTTTTTCATACCTTTCAGGTGTTTGCCAATAGAACCTAAGATAAAGGTATAATATTTTATTAATTGACAAACTGAAATTTTGAAATACCCATTTTATTCATTAACATTTTATGTCTTGCAACATGGCTTTGCTAAAAGTTGATTGATTACATTGTGAATACAATACCTCTAATGAGTGTGCTCGTTTTCTGTGCAGAAAAATAATAACAAAAGTCAAAACAAGTCTTTGCAATTTCAAATTCCCAAGGTTTCAAATTTCCATTGAGTGGGGCTTTGTGTAATGAATAAATTTAAATGGTAAAAGCAATATTAATAATGAAAATGACCAGCAAAAATGTCAGAAGAAATCATTGTATTTTAAGGCATGCATATGTGATATTATACAGAATGACGATTAGTTGTCTAATTTTTACCAATGTTACTGCCATTTTGCATTTTCTTGCAGTGGGTTAAAGACTTATAAAGTCATAGAGCTTTATTTCTACAGCTTTATAGCTACACCTCTACTGTAGTGTCGATTTTCCTCTAAGCAACTACACCCAATTCACTTTGGCCACATTCTGTATTCCCATTTTAAAATCAGCCTTCTCTCAATTCAGAACTTTTACTTGTATAAGACCATAGGACACAGAAACTGAAGAAGGCCATTCAAAGTTTTGGGTCTGTTCCACCTTTCAAAGAGATCATGACTGATTTGACAATCCTCCACTCCACTTTCCTGCCTTTCCCCCATAACCCTTGATTCCCTTTCTGATTAAAAATCTACCTCAGCCTCGAATACACTTAATGATCCGGCCTCAACAGGCCTATGAGGTAAAGAATTCCACAGACTCACTAGCTTCTGAGAGAAGAAATTCATCTCTGTCATGAATGAGAGACTTCTTACACTGAGATTATACCCTCTGTTGCTGGACTCTGCACAGGGGTAATCAACCTTTCCACATTTATCCTGTTATGTCCCCTAAGAATCCTGAATAGTTCTGCACCAATTGTAATGAGGTCAGCGAGGTGGGCATTTTAGAATATGAGATAACACAATATGGAGCTGGAGGAACACAGCAAGCCAGACAGCACCAGAGGAGCAGGAAAGCTGATGTTTTCTTCAAAAATGGGGTCTGAAGAAGGGTCCTGACCAGAAACGTCAGCTTTCCTGCTCCTCTGGTGCTGCCTGGCCTGCTGTGTTCCTCCAGCTCCACACTGTGTTATCTCTGACTCCAGCAACGGCAGTTCTTACTATATCAGAGAATATGAGTTCTCTGATTGGGCTGTTAATCTGGTCCAATCAGCCCTGGCTGACAGATAAAAAGAGTGGTGTCAGACATTCTGACATTCTAAGAGCTGGCTCTGAGAGAGCTGGACTAGTGTCAAGGACTATCCATGTATAAATAAAGGGTGACTTGGTGAAGGGATACTGGCCTCTGTGAAGTTATTTCAGTTTCAATAAAGTAGCCTCAGGAATCTTCTACATTCCAAAGAGTACAGGCCAAATCTACCCAATCTGTCCTCCTAAGAAAGTCTCTCCATACCTTGTAATCAGTCTAATGAATCTCTTCTGGACTGCCTCCAATACCTGTATATCTTTCCTGACTTAAGGATCCAAAAACTTTACAGCATTCCCATTGTGGTCTGACTTGTGTCTTGTATAGTTGTAATAAAACTCACCACTTTTACATTTGATTCTCGTTGAAATATAGACCAACATTTCATTTACCTTCCATATTACCATTGAACTTGGGTGCTGTCTTATAGACAACGAATCCTGATCACTCTCTTCCATAGCTTTCTGCAGTCTTGTTCCATTTAAATAATCAGCTCCTCTAGTCTTCCTGCCAGAGCGCTTAACCTCATATTTCCCGATATTCAATTTTCCAAGTGTTTTCTACTCGCTTAACCTATCTATATGTTTCTTCAGACTCTGTGCCATTCTCACCACTTGCCTTCCCACCTGTTTTTGTATCATCTGCAAACTTGGCTTTAATATACTCACTATTCTCATCTAAGGCATTGCTGTGAATAATTGTGGCCTCAGCACTGATCCCTGTGGCACACCACAATTTGCAGGTAGCCATACTAAAAAGCCTCCCTTATCCCAACTCTGTCTTCTATTATTTAGCCAATTCTCTATCCATGTTAACATACAACCTCTAACACCATGAGCTTTTACTTAATAAATAGACTAATGTGTGCTACCTTATCAAATACCTTCTGAATATACATTATCGATTATGTCCACAGCTTCCCCTTTATCTGTCCTGCTTGTTACCTCCTCAGGTAATTCTGGTAAATTTGTCAGGTATGATTTCCCTTCATGAAGTCATGCTGACTCTGCTTGATCATATTTTGCATTTTAAAATGCTCTGTTATTACATCCTTTACAACAAATGTTGACAATTTCAAAATAACAGATGTTAACTGGCCTTTAGCTACCTGTTTTTTGTTTCCTTCCCTTTCTACTTAAAGGCGTTATATTGGCTATTCCAATCCTCTCAGAGTTTTCCAGAATCTAAGGATTCCTGGAAGATTATTACCAGTGCATTCACTATCTAGGAAGCATCTGATCAGGTCCAGGGAACCTTTTGGTCTTCGGTCCCATTAGTTCTCTATTTTCCACTTCTTTGTCCTTTCCCATAATTACATTTAACCTTACTAAATTATGGTCACTTTAATTCCTCTCCCCAAACCCGCCAACACCTTTACCACTTTCCTGCCTTTGTTTCTAAAATTAGATCTAGACCATTCCCTCTCTTTCAAGACTTTCTGCGTGGTGCCAGAAAAAGCCCTCCTTCATAATTCTGCTCCTTCTAGGCCTTTCACACTTTGTCTATTCTAGTCAATATTGAGGAAGTTGAAATTTTCTTCTAATATTAGTCTATTATTTTTATACTTCTCTGAATTTGCCTCCAATCTATCTTTTTATCTCTCCCTGATTAGGGGTCTTTTGTACACTCCCAGAAATGTGATTTCCCCTTTTTCATTGAATTATGCAGTACAGAAGAGGCCCTTCAGCCCATCAAGTCTGTTCCACCAAATATACAACTAAAATATACAACATTTTGTTAAGTTCTACCTGTATAGCCTAACTTGAAAAATCTTCTAAGATATCAGCTCTCTTCAATCCATGATCAAAAGTGTAACACCATCTCATGTTTTACAATTCCCTATCTCACCTAAAGTTTCTATTTCCTGGAACATTGAACTGTCAGACTTGGCCTACCCTTAACCATGTTTACATGACAGGAATTGTATTATATTCCCATGTGTTAATCTACATCCTTAATTCATCTGCCTTACTCACAACACTCATTGCATTAAAATAAATATAATCCACCTTTGCCATGTTCCCTTGTGCTTTAATTTATTATAAATGCTCTACCTGCCAGGCTGACTTGGTTTTTCTTCCATTCTTGTCGGTGCATCACCCTACTGCACTTCCATTCTTTATCCATTAGTAGATGACATGTCATGTTACTCACTGTAAATTGGATAAAAGGAGATCAAATTATGTGTTGGATTATATTTTATTCTGCTGTTGAAGTCAAACTTTAAAAATCACAAAGTATAATTATTAACTAAATTCAGGCAGGCCAACTAAAGTTTATTTAGCTTCTAGAAGCAGAATATTGTAAAATTGTGAAGGTTTTCTTTTCGTTTTTTCTTTACTCTTACAAACCTGTTTCTAAAGTGATTGCAAATTATTGCCTTCTAATTTTTAAATTAATTTTTATTAATTAGCCCAGATTTACGTTTACGTACAGATTGAAAAAATCTTGCTGATGCAATGCTTTTATGTGTAGTGATTAGAATTAGAATTAGCTTTCGTTGACACATGTACTCACATGAGTACAGTGAAAAGTTTACAAGTCGCTACTTATGGCACCTTCTTCGGTCCAGATTCTTAAGTACAAATTCTTTGGGAAAAAGAATGAGAAAAATAAAGAAATAAAAAGTTCAGCAATAAATTAGAAAAATAGTGAAATAAGATTTCAGAATAACATTCTTTCCAAGCCAGACCGCGCCCGGCGCCAGACCGAGAGTTTAAATCCATGCTGAGGTCAGGAGTTCAAGTCCAGGCTAAGGCCAAACGTTGGCATCCGCGCTGAGGCCAGTAGTTTGAGTCCACACTGAGGCCAGGAGTTCAATTCCACACTGAGGTCCGGAGCTCGAGTCCACACTGAGGCCCGGAGCTCAAGACCACACTGAGGCCCGGAGTTCAAGTCCACGCTGAGACCAGGAGTTAGAGTCCATGCTGAGGCCAGGAATTAGAGTCCATGCTGAGGGCAGAAGTTCGAGTCCACACTGAGGCCAGGAGTTCGAGTCCATGCTGAGGCCAGGAGTTAGAGTCCACGCTGAGGCCAGGAGTTAGAGTCCATGCTGGGGGCAGAAGTTTGAGTCCACACTGAGGCCAGGAGCTCAAGTACACACTGAGGCCATGAGTTTGAGTGCACACTGAGGCCAGGAGTTCGAGTGCACACTGAGGCCAGGTGTTCGAGTCCAAGCTGAGGCCAGGAGTTAGAGTCCACGCTGAGGGCAGAAGTTCGAGTCCATGCTGAGGATGCGAATCGGGTTCATGCTGAGGCCAGGGGTTCAAGTCCACGCTGAGGCCGGGAATTTGATTCCACACTGAGGGCGGAAGTTCGAGACCATGCTGAGGCTGGTTTTCACCCTGGACACTTCCCATAGAGCCCGTGGGAAGAAGGTTAAAAAGAGAAAGAAAAAAAAGCATGAAAAGAGAGATAAAAAGAAGAAAATAAACAGATGGAGCGGATGAGCTCCAGCTTAGGAGTGCTACTCTGCCACCATCTTGTGCCACCGACTACGTCCATCCATTTTTCAGTCATCCTTTCATTAGGGTTTGAGACTAATTCATCATTTCTCATAGAGTGAAACATAATCATTTCAACTGGTGGATTATCAAAATGGGTCCATGATTCTCTGATTCATGATCACTAACTGTCAGTTACCTTGCCATATGCATGGATCTAGAAAATGTGCTCTTTGAACTTGCCTTTCAAATGAATGCATTGATTGTAGTTTGGATAAAGTGACTCAGATTTCAATAATACAGTGTGGAGCTGGAGGAACACAGCAGGACAGGCAGCATCAGAGGAGCAGGAAAGCTGACCTTTCGGGTCGGGGACCCAAACGTCACTGTGTTATCTCTGACTCCAGTGTCAGCAGTTCTTACTATCTCAGATTTCAAAAATATTCTTTCCTATGTTTCTGTTATTGGTTAAAGCATTGTAACTGTAAATAGGACAGAACAGATGTCTTTTTCGAACTTAAAAACAATGCTTAGTTTGAGATATTTACAGGACAAAGGCAAATACAAACTAAAGATATCATAGGTTTGTTGTGGATTTGTGGCTATTCATGGTGTTATGTTCCAAGAAGGACCAGGAGGCCAAGGGGTTAATCAGCAAGAGCTTTATTATGGAATTATTTATTCTCCAGGCAGCAAGGTTGGACTAAACTGCTTCCTGTCCAAAATGGCCATCTGTACGGTGTAGGACACTGATTCAGCCTGTGCTATAATAATGGCCGGTACCTACTTCTTGCCAGCGATGTAATTCCTTGCCAACACTTCTTGACCTTTTTGGAAAATGTCACTTTTTGCCTTGTTCTCTTGTTAGAAAACACGACCCTATTGTTTCTTGTCAACTATGTATTTTGTCATGGGTGTTTTTAGCAAATCAAATGCTGCACACAACTGATGCTTTATCATGAGCAATGCTGGAGGACTTTGAGTCATTGAGTGGGTTGTGTTCTGGTATGTTGGATCAGTCTTATGAATAGTGATCCTTGTTCTTGAGTTATCCTTGAGGGATGTTACACTGTCTGAACAAACCTTTCTGCCAGACCATTTGTGTCTGAGTGATAAGGAGCTGTTCGGAATGTTGAATTCTGTTCTTCTTTAGATAGTCTATAAACTCCAGTGATATAAACTGTGGAACATTATCAATTTGTGGACCAGTAATTGTTCTGAACAGCTAAACCTCGCAAAGATCTCCCCCAATCTTTCAATGATTTTCTCCAAAGGTGTTGTCCTCATGATGGCAACATCAGGCCAATTGGTAGTCAACCATAATGAATCCTTTCAAAAGCTAGTCTCTATGGACTCTTTGCCGTAGCCTTTCTGGCCATTTCCATGGTGTAATGGTGCTAACAGAGATGAACGCTTGTGCAAGCTGCACAAATTCCTGCCTTCTTCTCAATTTTGGTGTTGAAGCCTGGCAACCAAAAATAACTATCTCTTTCATTCTGACAATGTCAAAGTGATCTTCATTTAGTTGATTTAATACTTATTTCCTTACCTGTGGAAGAATGATGACCATTATTCCCTATAGGAGACATCCTGCTTGGTATGGAACTTCTAGTTTCTTAACTTGTCCTGCTGGTACCAGAATCTTGTCTACTTGTTTGAAGTAGAAAATGTTCACGTAAGGACTGAGCTGTTTCCTGTCCTAACTGACTATTGACATCATCTTTACATCATGTGATCAGATTCTTGAAGTGACAGTCCACCATACTGACACAAATACACAACACGTGGTCTGAAGTAGAATGCATTTTGGACTCCCCATCCTGACTTGGAAACATATCATTGTTCCTTCAGGGTAAGTTGGTCAAAAACCCTGTAACCCGCTTATTAATCACATCATGGGTATACCTACATCAAATGGACAGTGGCAGTTCAAGAAGGGTGCTGAATGTGTCAGCTTTCAAAAGGTACGATCTATACCATCAGATTCCTTTTCCTGGCAAAGTCTAGCCATTAGTCTGTCACATTCCTGTGTGGCACTTGATGCAGGAGCTTTTCCTAAAATGGATGATTGAGACTCTTGTATGCTCCAGTTGGCCAATCAATTTCACAATACTTTAGTAACTTTCTTAGCATATATTGCAAAATACGGAAACTACGTACTTACACTTTTCCAAGAACTGAGATAATAAAGTGGCCTTAGTCTGCTTTCCTTGATCATACCAATAGACAATGACAATGTTGTCTGTAATTAAATGTAAAGTATTTATAATTGGAATTCGTCCTCGTGTTATTTTGAGCCATAATCATGGCCCATTTGATTTGAATGCTTTGACAGTTCATTATTTTCAACAGTTTAGCACAAATGTACTGTCTCTATTTGTCCTTGTAACAATCTCACTTGTGCTTTTGCAATCACAACCCACATTCTTCTTTTGCAAGTTCAAGATTACAATGCAAAGATTACAGTAGTTTGAACAATTCTTCATTTTCTAATGCAGCATTTTATCTTTACAGAGCAGCCTTGAGGAGGCCTATTTTCCTCATTATTTCATGCAATTAAGGATGATCTCTAGCCACATAGTGCTAACAAACTGTTCACAGCAGGTATATTTAGATGTCTTTTCCTTCATAGATTCAAACTGAATTGTTGAATATTTTCATCATTTTCTGTTTTTTGTTTCGGGCTTCCAACTTTTACATTGTTTTGTGCAAGTTTTTTGAGATGGTGAACAGCAACACATGGTGATGTCAGACTCAACCAACACCAACGTATTGATGTCATGAAAAAGAGGTGACAGGAGCAGCAACACACAGGTAACATCTCTGGATTAGTACCTGAGCCATGTGATAATTTGCACATATCAGCAAATAAGTTTGGGGAGCTGAATGCGTGTCTCAAAAATTGGTGTGCATAAAAGTGACTTTTGATTTATGGGCACTGTACTAGGGAAAGTGGAATCTATACCTGTGGGACCAATATCCTGGTAATTGTTTTCGGCCTGCAGAAAACTACATAGTGAGGGAGGTCATGGTGTGGTGGTGGGTTTTTGTGAAGGGAGATTGGAAAGGTCAAAGCCATAGAACAGGTCACCAGAACAGTGAATAATAACCAGACTGCAACAGGAATGGGAAAAGTGTATATCAGGGTACCAATAAATAAAGCTAGAGAAAGGAAAAATGGAAAAAAGATGGAATTAAAAATTCTATATCTGAATGTGCATTGCACAGGTATCAACAGGGATGAATTAGAGTCATTGAGGTCTACAGCACAGAAAAAGGCCCTTCGGCCCATCCAGTCCATGCAGTCAAAAACAAGCACCTATCTATCCTAATCCCATTTTCCAACACTTGGCTGATAGCCTTGTATGTGTTGGTATTGCAAGTGCACATCTAAATACTTTTAAGATGTTATGTTTCTGCCCCTTCCGCCCTATAGGTCTAAGAATATAAGAACTAAGAGCAGGAGTAGACATCACAGCCCTTCAAGCTTGTTCCACCATTCAATATAACCATGGATGATTTCATCTTGGCCTCAACTGCACTTTTCCACCCGCTCTCCCCAAACCTTCAATCCGTTATAGAGTCATACAGCATGGAAATAGACCCTTTGGTCCAACCAGTCCATGCCAAAAATAATCCCAAACTAAACTAGTCCCATCTGCCTGCTCTTGGCCCATATCATAGAAGGGTCCCGACTCGAAACATCAACT